GTCCATAACATAAAAGAGGCCTACAGAACACCGAATAGACTAGACCAGAAAAGAAACTTCCTACATCACATAGTAGTCAAAACACTAACTCTACAGAATAAAGAAAAAAAATATTAAAAGCAGTAAGGAAACAAGGCCAAGTAACATTTAAAGGTGAACCTTTCGGAATCACACCAGGCTTCTCAACAGAAACTATGAAAGGCAGAAGGGCCTGGGCATATGTCATGCAGACTAAGAGACCATAAATGCCAACCCAGACTACTATACCCAGCAAAGCTTTCAATCAACATAGATGAAGAAAACAAAATATTTCATGAGAAAACTAAATTTAAGCAATATCTACACAGCAAACAGCCCTACAGAAGATACTAGAAGGAAAACTCCATTCAAACCAAAAAAAAAAAAAAAAAAAACTATACCCAAGAAAATATAGGATACAGATAACTCCACAACAAAGAATTAAAAGAAAAGAAGCAATGAATCACAGTAGCACCACCAACTCCACAATAAAAGGAACTGGTCACTATTATCTATAAACCTCAGTGGACTCAACTCTGCAATAAAAAGAAACAGACTAACAGAGTGGTTGTGGAAACGGGATCTAACATTCTGTTGCATCCAAGAAACACCTCTGCCACAAAGATGAACACTACCTCAGAGTAAAAGGCTGAAAAAATGTTTTTCAAACAAATGGACCCAGAAAACAAGCTAGGGTAGCTATCCTAATATCTAATAAAATAGACTTTTAACTAAAATTAATCAAAAAAGATGAGGAGGGACACTTCATTCTCATCAAAGGAAAAATCCACCTTGAGGACATCACAATTCTGAACATCTATGCCTGAAATACAAGAGCACCTGCATTTGTAAATGAAAAATAATTAAAGCTTAAATCACACATTGATCCCAACACCTTAATAGTGGGAGACTTCAACACTCCACTGTCACTAAAGGAAAGATCATCCAGACAGAAGCTAAATAGGGAAATAATGATACTTACAGAGGTGCTAAATCAGAAGGACCTAATAAAATCTCTACAGAACTTTTCACTGAAACCCAAAAGAATATACCTTCTTTTCAGAACCTCATGGAACCTTCTCAAAAATTGACCATATATTCGTTCATAAAGCAAGCCTCAACAGATACAAGAAGATCTAAATAATCCCTTGTCTCCTAACCAACCACCATGGCCCAAAACTAGACAGAACAGAACAACAACAGAACAGAACAGAAATAACAACAGAAATAACAAAAAGCCTACATACACATGGAAACTAAACAACTCTCTACTCAATGCAGCTTGGTCAGGGAAGAAATGAAAAAAGAAATTAGAGACTTTCTAAAATTCAGTGAAAATGAAGGCACAACTAACCCAAAATTATGGGACACCAAAAAATGCAGAAGTAGACACACCTAAGAGGAGTAGAAATACTCAAACTCAGAGCTGAAATCAATGAATTAGAAACAAAGAAAACAATTCAAAGAATAAATGAGACCAAGAGCTGGTTCTTTGAGAAAATCAACAAGATAAACAAACCCTTAGCCAAACTAACTAAAAGGCAATGAGAAACTATCCAAATCAGCAAAATCAGAAATCAAAAGTGGGACATAACAGTCACTGAGGAAATCCAAACAATCATTAGGTCTTAATAAAAAAGCCTATATGCCACAAAATTTTAAAATCTAAAGGAAATGGACAACTTTCCTGATAGATTCCATTTACCAAAATTAAATCAAGATCAGGGAAATGTTGAATAATCCTATATCCCCCAAAGAAATAGAAGCAGTCATCAAAAGTCTCCCTTTCATTAAAAGCCCAGGGCCAGATGGTGTCAGAGCACATATAATTCCAGGTCCTCTGGAATCTGAAACAGAATTCTAAGTTTGAAGACAGCTTGGGCTGCATGGTAACTGAAGGTCAATCTGGGGAACTTGATGAGACCAATTTCCCCAATGTTTGAACAGTGTTGTACATACAGTTTCCTGGTAGATTGCTTGTTTAGCATACTTAGGGACCTGAGTTCAATCCTCAGGAGTACCACAGTAACAAAAAAGGCATTAAACCTCCACAAATGTGAGCAAATGTTTAGCTATACTGTAAAGTAGAAGGTTGGTGTTAATGCTGGTGAAACCTGAAATACAAAGTGAGTTTTCCTGGGCATTGATGTACAGTAAAGGTAGTTAAGGGTGTTGAAATTATGCCTAAGAATGGTGTGCATATATTTCGTTCCTGCTATCACAATTGGTATAAATTTAGTGCCTTAGAATGTGACAGACTTATTACCACAACACTGGATGCAGAAAAGGTCTTACTATGTTAAATCTAACAGCTCCTTTACTTCAGGGATTTCTAGGAAGAATCTTTTATAGCTTCTGCAAACAGCTTGCAGTCCATGGGTCCTGGCATTTTTCATTTTGTACATCAACAATGTCTGATCTGGTTTTATTTTGTTTTCCCAGTGCTGCTTCCCTGAGATAAAACTCTTACACCTCTGCCAGACACACCTAAGTACCTTTGCAGTTACATTGGCTAAAATGATCTAGCATAATTTTGTGCAAAATTCCACTGTTAACAGCCTTAGTTCCATCTGAAATCTCAATTCTCAATGGCCAAATAACATGTTTACATATCTCTCTCTCTCTCTCTCTCTCTCTCTCTCACACACACACACACACACACACACACACACACACACACACATACACACCACCACCACCACCACACACAGTGTGACAAAAAATAATGACTGTTGGCTCAAATCTGAGGTTGATTTACAAGGCCAGGATGTATATAGTTTGTTCTTCCTTTTGGAAGAGGGACAGTGATGAGTGATGTAATGGAAGCCCGTACCTCGAATCCCTTAGAGATAGACGTGCCTTTCTCTACATGGTGGTATGAACCAGTTTATAAAAAAACAAAACAAAACAACAACAACAACAAAAGAACCAAAAGTAACCAAATGACTGGCTGTTGCTAGGTCACCTGTCCCCTCTCAGACTGCAGTACTAACAGCCCCCCTCCACTTCCACTGGCGTCAGAAAAGTGGGGGAAGTGGAGGCGGGAGCAGACAGGGAATACAGGCAGAAGCAGATACTGTCCTCCTTCTGAAGATGTACAGTATCCATCCGCTGCTTCCTCCCGCTCCCAAACTGCAGACCTCCTCCTCCCTGTAGTTCCAACCTTCCCACCAAAGCCCTCATAGACCCTATCCCTCAGACATCCCAAACAGTGTAGTGGCGCCAAAAAAATTGGTGGTGGTCTCTGGCTAGTGTAAACAGGGGTCTTCTGAAGCCCAGTGGTGCAACCCACCCCTCCAAGTGGAGTGAGGCTGTCTCTGGCTCCGCCCACTCCGAGTCGGAACTACTGTGGGTCCAGGAGGGGGCGTCGAGCCTGGCGACATATCCCTCCGCCCCCTTCCCGACACCCTCTAGGCGAGCTCTGCCTGCCGCATCCTGCGCAGCCCCTGCCCCTTTGGTGCAGAGGCGTGGGGGCGGGACGCATCTCTGCCGTTCCACACGCACTCAAAGCAGTCAGAGCCCGGTGAGAGGAGCTGCGGAGGACTGAGGGCAGCCAGGAGCAGACGGGGGACGCGGGAGAGCCCAGAGCGCTGGGCCGTGCGCCTGGCCAGGCAAGTGGGAGTGTGTCGAGGGCTCTGGGCGGTCGGTCGCGCACTGCGGACCACTGCCGGGCCCTGACAGTCCGGTGGAGGCGAGCGGGTCGTGGCTGCGCCGGTCGTGGCTGCTCCCTGGAGTAGGGCGCAGTGCCCCAGAGACCACGGGCAGTGAGGAGGAGGCGGTATCCCGGGCCGGGGAGCTGGCGCAGGGAGCCGCTGGAGCGACTGGATGTGATAGTCTGGAGGCTGGCAGAGCATGGCAGTTGGTTTTCCAGGTGCCTGTGTCCCGCCCTCCACAGTGTCTGGGCCCTGTAAGGGTTATGGGCTAGGTAGCTGCAGAAGAAATGACGCGGGAGTGTGTGGTGGGGGTGGGGTCACGCCGGGAGTCGACAGGTCCAAGGGAGACAGCTGCGGGAGAAATGGCGATTCAGGAGTTCGGGGGGGGGGGGGCGGGGGGGGCAACAAGCTGGGAGCCCAGGGGGTTGGGTGCAGGGTGGGTAACCAGCTCCGGGGCCAGCTCAGCTGGTGGGTGGTGAGTCGCCTCAGTTACTAGGGTTCTGATCTGGCTCAGGAGAGGGGTCCTGGTACCCTGCATCCTGGGTGCTGTCACTTCTCACAGGCTCCTGCTTGATGGCAAAGTCTCCTGTCTGCAGGGTAGGTTTGGCGTATTCTGACAGGCCACAGTGAGCATCTGTAGACCAGAGGCTTGAGAAAAGAGGAACAGGAAAATGGCGTGGATTTCTGGAGGTGTGTGGCAATGGGAGTGGGCACCAGACAGTGAGTGGAGATGCGAAAAGGGTGGGGGTGACAGACCCGAACAGGTGGGGCATTCATTGGTATCTCCTAATCTCATTTTCACAGCCTTGCGGGTCCTTTCCCCACTGCCCTTCCCCTCCCTCCCAAATCTGGGGTCTGAAAAGATGCGTTGGGGATGATGACGGAGTCATAAATCCCAGGACCACTTCAGAACCTGCTTTCTAGAATGTGCTGAGCAGCTCCCCCATTTTTTGCTGCGCAAGGCAAGGAAATGTCGCCACCTAGCGATGAGTCCTCAAAATTGCAGACGGGACTAATGAGTATGACATCAAGAGGAGGTGTTACCTCAAGAACCCTGCAGCCAGACTAAATCAAACAAGAACCTTCCAGCAGTAGGACCCTAAGTGCGCAAGGACACACGATCTGGTCCTTTTCCTTGGAGTTGTGCTTCTCCATAAGATCAGCTGCTGCCATCAATTCCTGGTGGCTTACATTTTCACCTCTTTGTCCACAGGCCTGCTTTAAGGCTGTTCGTTTCTGCAGGAAAGGAGAGAAGGCATCAAGGAGACTGTCTCTGATCTCTGGAGGTTGGTGAAACTCAGGAACAGTGCAGGCAG